AGCATGGCTGGCTCAGGAATTCTGGAGTTGAAGTCCACGAGTCATAAAAGAGCCAGGTTGCCTACCGCTGCGCTAGACAGTCACTTATCTGAAATGGTATAGGTTCTCCTGCTTGAGCAGAGGGCTGGACTAGAAGACCTCCAAGGTCTATTCTATTCTATTCTATTCTATTCTATTCTATTCTATTCTATTCTATTCTATTCTAGATTCTCAACCCTCCAGGTCATGGTTGTCACAAAGGTGCTTTTCCAAAAGGCATCTGGACTTTCTTGGGTTTTTTTTTCTTTGAAAACATTTCACTTTTCATCCAAGAAATGTCTTCAGTTCTGTCTGGTGGCTTGTAAGAGTGGTAAAACAAATATTAGTCCTGGCAGTATAAATTAAACCAATTTGCCTTGAAAACAGTCCAAATGAAATCCAACACTTAGCTCTATTCTAATCTCCCCAGGAGGCACTGCCAAAGTCAGGAGGCCTCTCCTCAACTGGTTCTTGACTAGCCATGTTAATTGCAGAGAGACCTGGAGGAGGACCTTTTGAAGACATATGAGTTTCCTACGAGTGGGAGCCATAGTGTAAAATAGCAGTATGACAGCACTCATGGTGCTTTTATGTGCCTACTATTTCCTTTTCCCTCTAACGTTCACCCTGTTCTTGATGCAAGTTGACGGATGCAAATACATTGGTTATTCTGGAAAATTTCTCCCTCTGTCTTAATTTGCACTTAAATCTGCGAATTCACCTGGGAGATTCACAAGCAAGACACGGGCAGAGGTCGGCCTTCGCATGCATTCATTTCCCCCGTGTTCCTTGGCTTCAAGAACTGCCGTCAAATTGTCTGTTTAAAATAAATTTACATATACTCCTTGATTCTAGATATTTTATTAGAACGTGCCTTTTTGTAAAGCTTTGCTCTTAGTAAAACCAAGTTATAAACACAATTTTTTTAAAATTCTTATGAATCTCTTTCAAATATGTCTCCTTTTTCAGGTCTGTCCTTTATTTTTTCCAAGAAAATCTACATGAATAGTAGTTCAGCTTACTTTAGATTTCAGAGTATTATGGTGATGATATCAAGAGCCATTGTGGCACAGTGGTTAGAATGCAGTATTGCAGGCTAACTCTGCCCACAGTCTGGAGTTTGACTCGGGGGGTGGAGATTCAAGGTTGACTCAGCCTTCCATCCTTCTGAGGTTGGTAAAATGAGGAGCCAGATTGTTGGGGGCAATAGGCTGACTCTGTAAACTGCTTAGAGAGTGTTGCATGGCACCATGAAGCATTATATAAATCTAAATGTTATTGCTATGAACTTTCCACTAAAGAAAACAACAGCCACTGATGTATAGTTGAGGTCTGTTCATTATCCTTCCCTTATCCTAACCCTTTCAGTTATATACAGTGATTATGGATCTCATTTGCAAATGTTTTTAATTCTCCAGTTTGCTTTTAGCTCCCCTAAAATAAGGGTTTCAGATCATACTTGGCCCTTTCGCAGCATACCGCAAACATGCTATCAGGATACAAGGTGAGAGGCTCAGAGCAGACACTAAATTTGCTTTAATTTAAATGTAAGCTAATTACACTTTTTGCTATGACTCCATATGTACTAAAACATATTAGTTTCTTATAGCATTAAAAATTGTAGTTTAGTGGCCATTTTTACAGGTGTTCTGAGGACCCAGGCCTCACATTTTTCCTCTTCATCCTTGTAAGACTCCAAGATAGATAATTCACTTATGATCCTCAGCAACAGACATTGAAACACAGTAAATGCTATATCACTAGGAGTATAAACTGAAAATACAGAATACAAAATAATAGTCTAGGAAGGGACCTTGGAGGTCTTCTAGTCCAAACCCCTGCTCAAGCAGGAAACCCTATACTGTTTCAGATAAATGGTTGTCCAATCTCTTCTTAAAAACCTCCAGTGATGGAGCACCCACAACGTCTGGAGGTGAAGATGAACTTTGGTCTCCCTGATCCAGTTATATAACTTGAGACACAGTTTGGTATAGTACAGTGGTGGCAAACCTATGGCACAGGTGCCAGAGGCGGCACTCAGAGCCCTCTCTGTGGGCACGCATGCCGTTGCCCCAGTCCTAGGCCATCAGCTGGGTTTTATAAAACCTTTTCGCTTTAGGCCTCCGCCGCCGTGTGCAAAAAAAAAAGGTTCAATCAATCAGTCAATTTCAACTTCTCGCGGGGAAAAAAAAGATCTTGCAAAGTTGGAATTGATTGATTGAACTTTTTAATCCCACCCAGTCTGCCCTTACCACCGCAGCCACGCCCACTCAATGGGCCACACCCACCCGGCACCCGACGATGCATAAGTGGGTTTGGGGTTGCAGTTTGGGCACTCGGTCTCTAAAAGGTCCGCCATCACTGGTGTAGTAGTTAAGATGCTGGCCTAGAGACCAGGAAGTATGAGATTAGTTCTGCCTTAGTTATGAAAACTTGATTTTGAGTCAAGTATTCTGTCTCAACCCAACCCACCTCGCAGGGTTGTTATTGTGGGGAAAATAGGAGGAAGTATTAGGTATGTTTGCCACCCTGAGTTACTAATAAAGGTGGGATAAAAAAATCAAATAAATAAATACACCAGGATAAAACCTCCCTTGTGTTGTATTGTGCAAGACTTTATATGTGGCTGTGTTATATAATGTGGGGTTGATGTTATCCAGTTTGGTATTGAAACATACATCTGCAAGAAAACAACCAAGATCAGAGAGTTCCAGGGACCCTATAGTTTAGTGGTTCTCAACCTTTTTAATGCCGCGACCCCCAACCGGTCGTAAGTTGAGGACTACTCAACTGGTCGTAAGTTGAGGACTACTCAACTGGTGCAGCACCGTTTGCAGAATGGGACTTTTGGCGGGCTCAGCAGGGCAGAGACAGCCTGGACAATTCCTATTGGCTTTTGAAAGCCAATAGAATTAGACTCTATTCAAGAGAGTCTATTCTATTGGCTTTCAAAAGCCAATAGAATAAAAGGGAGTAGCACAGCTAAAGAAAAGGGGGAAAAAATGGCGGACTGCGTTGTTTGGCGACCCCCGTGAAATGGTCGTTCGACCCCAAATGGGGTCCCGACCCACAGGTTGAGAACCACTGCTATAGATCAATCCTGAGCTGGAAATATTCTCTTCTACTTATATGTTTTGTGCCTGTGCTTGACTTTATCCCTAATTGTGACCGACTCTAATGAACCCACATATAGGAGTTTACCAGCCAAATTGCTTGTCCAACTCATAGCAAGGAGCAAATAGCTGCATTCAGCTTGGATGATCCAAAAGTTTAAAAACTGTTGTATTCTTGACCAAGTCATATATACATGCTGTTTCTCATTTTTACTTAATTTTGATCAAAATGAACGAGAATAGCACAATCTCCAGTTGAACTGCACATGCTCAGCGTATTGATCTGTTGTAGCTTGACTTTGCAGGGAAATAAAATTTTGTAAATTAATAAAAACGGCTTTGGTCCCAGGCCTGCGGAGTGATGTTTATGATTTGTTTAAGGCCTCTGGTTTGGTTTGTAGATTTTTGTTGTTTACTGGATTATTTTTGTCAGGGCTGCTTCTCCGATTTTAGCTCTTATTATGATTTTTTTTTCTAGAGTTGTTATGGGGGGGAAAAAGAGGTATGTTGGATATGTTCACCACCTTGAGTTATTTGTAAAAATAATAAAGACATTCTACTCTATTGAAATGGAAGGGAAGGAAAGAAAAATAGGAGGAAAGGAATGCATAGGTCTGAAGAGAGGGAAATAAGAGCACCAAGGTCAGATTTCTGAGTTGGGTCTAAATTGTGACATGTGCATTGGGATGTGCAGTGTTTACACCAACCTAGAATTGTAACAGTAGAAAGCTAAGGGTCATGAGGTTCTTCCAAGCCAGAAATCTGAAAGCAATTCCCACATTAACCAGCCACCACTTTAGTTTTATTTTTCTTTGGAGACCTTTTTCCAGTTATATCCAACTTCTTAAATTAGGCAGAGAGTTCCCAGTACTGTGTTGTTATTTGTTGTTGTTTTAACTGTTCAGTCATGTTCTACTTTTGGCGCCTTTTAGGCAAGTGCTCTCCATGCTATCTTGTCAAGCACAGCTTCTTTCAGTTGTTAGATATTCACCTTTGAGTCAGTTTTGATGTTATCAAGCCAGCGTGTTCTTTGCTTGCCCCTTCTTGTTCCACTAATTGAGTGGAATAAATTAATCAAGGAGAGAAGCAACTTGCAACTAAGGAGAAATTTCCTAAGAGTGAGAACAATTAACCAGTGGAACAACCTGCCTCTAGAAGTTGGGAGTGCTCCATCACTGGAGACTTTTAAGAAGAGCCATTTGTCTGGAATGTTATTGGGTCTCCTGCTTGAGCAGGGGGTTGGACTAGAAGACCTCCAAGGTCCCTTTCAACTTTGTTATTCTGTTCTATTCTGAGACCTTCACCTTCCTTGTTCATTCCTAGCATCGTTGACTTCTCCAATAGACTTGCATGCATGACATGGCCAAAGTAAATTAGACATATCACAGTACTGTTGCAATTGTCAATTCACCCAGCATTTTTTTTATTATTAACTTATTTGCCTGGCATTTTCCATTCAATTTTACAGGCTCCGGTTATATTTTCAGGCTCTTCCTCTTTTATTTAAATATTTATCGGTTCTTTTATTTAGATTCAGGTTCTGTTATTTTAATCGCATTTCGATAGTATGTTGCTTGTTTCTTGTATGTTTTCTTGCTATGGGATCTCTAAAGCAGCTTAGATTTCAGGTTCAGCGTGTATTGAATCTGCTAAGATGAATGTTTGTAGAGAGGGAAGCAATCATTTTATAGCTTTTCCACTGTTCCAGCCTTTGTGCCTTTAGAGACTGTTCGTGTCTTCAGAGGAACCAAACTACAATTTTGTCTGGCCTGAGGATCATGTAAGAGAAAGGTTAATTGACGTTAAGAATATCTTAGTTTAAATGTGGATAAAGTGAGTCTGTTTCTTACCTTCTCGTTTATAAAACAGGAGGATTGTGTCCAGGCTCTAATGATCCTTGCACAGAAAAGCCTTGCCCAGGGGATATGCAGTGTGTAGGCTACGAAATCAACCAGAGACTGTTCATCTGTCAGTGTCCACCTGGAAAACTTGGAGAATGTTCAGGTACACAATTTGCTCTGCTGCTGCTGTATCTTCTTGGTCAGATCTTTAAGTCCTGTCAGTCTTTTCTTCTAAACCCTCTTGAGTTCAACATCTCTGAAAGTCTGTGGTGGAATGTAGTCTAGATTCCCAGGAGGCAGGAGCTACATTCCAGAGAACCAAGAGACAATGAAGTTTAGACAGTTTGGCTGGGAGAAAGAGAATTAAGACAGCTCCTCCCTAGCAGTTCTTAGAGTATATCTTTAATGATGCAAGTAGTTGTTTTCATTTGAGAAGATTTCTGTCAAGAAAACTGCTCAGAAGTAACTCAATGTGTCTTTCTTAGTTTTGGGGGCCTTACATCACTCTTTTCAAACTAAAGCAACTACTTGCATAATTAAATATATACTCAGAGGACAATTTTAACTCTCTTTTTCCCAACCAGACTATTTAAACTTCATTGTCTCTTTGCCCTGTGGAATGCAGCCTCTTCCTATTGGGAATCCAGACTACATTCCACCATAATGACCCATTATGTTTCAAAAATGAGGTCTCCAAATTTGGCAACCTTAAGTGTGCTGGGCCAGCCAATAGCTTCAGAACATTAAGACTTGTGGACTTCAACTCTCAGTCAGCCCTGAGATCTACCAAGACTTAAGGTTGCCAAGTTTGGAGACCCCAATCTAAAAGACTTATATGGCCATCTATTTTGTACAGAAATCCTAGACGATTTACAACAAAGTCAATAAAAGTAACTCTAAAATCATAGTCTTTGGATAAGGACTCTCAATGTCTTACAAAAGACTTCTCAAAATATCCCAACTTCCTTATTATTTGGAACGGCAAAACCCAGTTGTGTTAAGGAAGTTTTGGATGTGGGCTACAATCTGTGCCTGGTTTAATAGGTCACAAGTTTTGCTAAACTACCACAATGTTATCCTACAGGAGTGAAGGGTGAAGTGTGTTGCATATCTAGAACAACTCGCCATGGGACAACGCTCTACAGACAAATTCAATGCTGTATTGTTTTTATTCTGGTACTTTTATTATTGGTAACCAACAATTTCTTGGAAATTGTTGTAACTCTTGTATTTCTGGATTGACTTTATTTTATTTCTATTGATCACAGTTCTGTCAAAATTGATTCAACTTTTATATTTGTTGAACTGTCCTGCAGCGAGTTGGCCATGGCAAGTTGGCTGCAATGAGTTGGTTGTAGTGAGTTGTCCCATTCTGTGTGCTGCAGTGCAAAGCCCTGTTGATTTTGATGTGCATCACAATGTCACAAGCATATCAATAAGGGTGGAGCTTGGGGTCGAACATTCTTTTGTCATTATGATAAAAATAACAGTAATGATGTATACCAAAAAAAACCCCCACCCTGCCCTACAATATTTAAATTGTGGTCTTGTTCATTCACTACAAACAGATTAATATTGCTTTATGCACAGACCAAGAAAGAACAGATCCTGCTTTATTAGTGCATTAATCTTCATCAGCATAGGGTGTGCATACTACAGGGACAGGTTTTTAAACTGTCAAAAGTTGTGGTTTGTTTTTTTAAGGTTCTTCCTTATCAGCCTTGTTAACCAAGCATCCTACTTAATTAACTTTTTTTTCCACCTTAGTGTAGAGCAGGGGTTCCCAACCGAGGGTGCTTGCACCCCCTAGAGGTGCGAGACGCTATTCCACGGGGTGCAAAAGCTTGGGTTTTCAAAATTATAGTATATATGCATAATTCGCTGCCGTTATTTCGAACTTTTGTGAGGGGTGCGAGAATATATCAGAAGCATTCTAGGGTGCGGGGTATAGAAAAGGTTGGGAGCCCCTGGTGTGGAGGATTGGATAATCTCCAGTGTTTGGTTTCAGAAGGCACAAAATAAAACACCGTAATCTGTTTTCTAAATGGTTATTTCAGGACACACTTCTCTGAGCTTTGCTGGGAATAGTTACATCAAATACCGGGTTTCTGAAAATAGCAAGAACGAAGAATTCAAACTGGGTCTCCGTCTGCGGACTCTGCAAAGCAACGGAATTATAATGTACACCAGAGCAAATCCCTGTATAATTCTGAAGGTAATTAAAATCAGTTTTATCTTTTCCCCCAGGTTGGATTGGTTTTTGGGGGGGGGTTGTTTTTGTTTTTTTTGTTTTTTTGGATTGTATCTCTCTCTTTAGGCTCAACTGGAAATGTTCTTGTTTCAGCAAGGAAGATCCAGCCTTTTCAGTTTTGAGAGTGATAAAGAAAGAAACCACAGTTTTAGCCACCATAATGGAAATGTCTTGTTTCTGTGAATTGCATTTTTTTTTATTAAAATAAACTCCAGGATGAGTAAAAGACAGAGTAACTTATTTTCTGCCTCGCTAGCAGTATCTGCCAAGACTACAGATTTAGAAGAATTATTGCCATAGATTTTGCTACAGATAGATTTGGGCTTTTTCTTCTAATGGACCTAGGATGTAGTGAATAAAGCAAAAATGGAAGTTTGGCTTTTATTCTTCCCAATGAAAAAGTCCATCTTACTTTTGGAGAAGCATGAGATGGCCAGATTTCTTGCCTTTTTCTTTCCTTTCGCAACTCCAAACTATCCTTCATGCTAATAGCAGTACTAGGATCTCATCGGAGCCTGATTCGTGTAATAAATTCCCCCAGCCATTCCCGAAGCCCAGTGATCAACAAGCCACGGCCCGGTACCGGGCTGCTGCCCATAGGTTGGGCACCCCTGAGGTAAATTAATAGAACTCCCCAGTAGCCTATGCTGAGTTAAAGGGACAAATAATCCAGTTTGGTAGGTAATCTATTTACAACCATTTGTTTAGTGACAGTTACAACAGCACAGAAAAAAAGTGATTTATAACCGTTTTTCATACTTAAAATGTAGCATCCTGATGGTCATGGGATCAAAATTCATATGCTTGGCAACTGGCCCATATTTATGACGGTTGCTGGGTCCCACGATCGTGTGATGTCCTTTTGGGACTTTTTGAGAAACAAAGTCAGTAAGGAAGCCTGATTTACTTAACAACCATATTACTAACTTAACATCTTCAATGATACACTTAACAACAGTGGCAGAGAAATTCATAAAGTGGGGTTTAGTGTGATAGGTCAATTGTAGTGGTATGGTTTATATAACCAATTGTGATCAACCCACAATTAGAATTCCTGGTTTGGGATAATTCAGAGTCAGTCTATGCTGATCTTGAAAGTTTTATTGTTAATCCCGTCAGCTATATGCTCAATATCTCAGGGACTGATAATAACCGAGGCTTTAAGCATATAATACTTTCCTGGAAAAAGAAGTATTGACATTTCCTGGCCACTAAAAACTTTCTCCAATTAAGAGATTGTCTTGAATCTATTCTGGCAGAGCTGACTCAAAAACTCTTCAAGCCACATGGTACAGTCCTACCTGGGGGAAGTGCTAATTGGCTAACTCATAAGGGGTCAGGTTCCTCCAGCTTACGTTTTAGTTCAATTTAAGCCTATTTGCTGAAACCACAGGCTAAAACAAAAGCCACATTCAACCGTAAGCAAAGCCAAAATAGTAACAGCAGCTATTGCAAAATACGGAGCAGGGTGTTAATTCCCACTCCCTTCGCTCCAGACATTCTTCTTCCTTTCTAGAGAAAAAAAAGCCTTTGGAGCAATAAACCAAAAGAGTAATTTTCAGTAACCCCTTATTACATGGGTCATTGCCATTCCAATGACTTTGACAATCAAGCTATTGCAGTACACTGAATTTCTGAATTGTAGAGCAGAGCATGGCCTAATGTTTTTTAAAAAGATTTTGGATTTCTACCTATATGCTTATTTTTCTTCTCCCCACAACTATTACCACCTCCTCCTCCTCCTCCTCCTCCTCCTCCTCCTCCTCCTCCTCCTCCTCCTCTTCTTCTTCTTCTTCTTCTTCTTCTTCTTCTTCTTCTTCTTCTTCTTCTTCTTCTTCTTCTTCTTCTCTTCCTCCTCCTCCTCCTCCTCCTCTTTCTGATCAGATAATAAATGTGTTAAAGGATGTCCTTAACTTACAGTCACAAGTGAGCTCAAAATTTCTGTTGCTAAACAAGAGAGTTGTTAAGTGAATTTTGCCCGTTTGACGACCTTTCTTGCAACAGTTGTTAAGTAAATCACTGCAGTTGATAAGCCAGTACTGTAACATGGTTGTTAAGTGAATCTGGCTTCTCCATTGACCTTGCTTGTCAGAAGGTCGCAAAAGGTGACCTTGGGAATACTGCAACTGTCATAAATGTGAATCAGTTGCCAAGCATCCAAATTTTGATGACGTGACCTTGGGGAAGCTGCAACGGTCGTACGTGTGAAAAACAGTCATCAGTCACTTTTTCCAGTGTTGTAACTTTAAACGGTCACTAAATGAACTGTTGTATGTCGAGGACTATCTGTCATGAATACATTGGTCAGTATATACAGTGTAAGTATGTCTGGTTGGATAATAAATGCATTTACATACACTCAGTAAAATTCAATTCAGATGACGGTGTGGGTTGTGTCATCTGTTACACCAATCAAGCCTTGCCTGAAATGTTCATTGCTGAAACAGCGGAAAAGCCCTGGAAATGATCCCAGTGTGGCAGGAGCTGTAGGAAGTAATATTTTAATCAATCTACCATTTTGCTCAAATGATCCTGAAATGTATTCCTCCTAACTAAATATTCCCCTGGATGGGTGGGTCGGCAGGCTTTTGCATTCAGGAACTGTGACTGCAAAATCCCCGAAGGATCCTTTGATGGTTTTACTACTAATGCTGATACGCAGATCTGGTTGACATCCAAGCACCTTCGCTAGGCTAATATTCCGAAATGATTTATTAGGACCATTCATCTCATTCTGCCTATTTGGTGAGGCAATGAAAGGGCACCAATTTGTGTACTAAGAGTTCCTTCCTGCCTGCCTGCCTGCCTTCCTTCCTGGCCAATTTAATGACTGCCTGTGTAGGTGTGCGTAGGTGCGTGTATGTCTACATGAACATTGATTCGGGGAGGGTTAATTTATGGTGACATTCTGAGACCTGAGGCTAAAATCCAGGGATATGGAACCTGGTTCAGGAAGAACTGACACAGAAGCAAAGAGAGCAGCAGTGTTCATTGGGACAAAATGGCAGACAAACTTGTAGTTTGATCCCACTCTTTCTGAACAAGGATAGAGCATGCATAAACACACACACATACCGAGAGAGAGAGAGACAGAGACAGAGACTCTGCAGATGCTACTAGGCAAAGCCAAGATATGAGGGGTCCTTGGTGCTCTCTGAGTTTGCTTGTTTTCTTGCAGACATTTCATTACCCAAACTAGGTAACATCATCAGTGCTAGAAGGGAGAGGGGTTTGCTCTTATTATTTACTTGATTTTTGGTCTGATGTTAACCTTGGAGATAATCTATGCTGATCTGGGTGCTGATTGCTAATGGAGAGGTGCTTTTTGTTCTTTTAGGGGCTGGGTGATTGTCCCTTTTGCATAATCTATACATGTTGTTAATGTCTATGTCAGGGGTCTTCAAACTTGGCCCTTTTATGACTCGTGGACTTCAACTCCCAGAATTCCTCAGCCAGGCATAACATCCACGAGTCATAAAAGGACCAAGTTTGAAGACCCCTGACCTATGTGTCTATTGATGGCTGATTTGTCCGAGTGCCAGGCTTCTAGAAATTCCCTGGTGCTTTTGGACTTGGCTTGGTCTAGGATGGTCACATTTTCCCAATGGCAACTATGGTTAAATCTGTCCATATGTTGTGAAATTAAAGAATTTTCATCATGTCTTCTGACCGCTAGTTGGTGTTCATGGATTCACTCTGCTAGTCTTCTGCCTGTTTGTCCTACATGCCGTAGTGGCTGTTAAAGTCCTTACACTGTATGTTGTAGAATAGATGACTCCTATTTTTTTCTTCTGGGTCGTTCGGTTTACTTAGAACGTTTTGGAGGACTTTAGTTGGTTTGTGTGCTACGGTGATGCCATGTAGTTGTAATAGTCTGTTAGTGGTTTCTGAGACGTTTTTGATGCATGGCAGTGTTTTATCCTTTTTGCATCTTGTGTTGGTTGTGCTATGGTAGGTTCTGTCTTTAAGGCTTTCTTAGAATGCCATGAGGATGGGAGTTACATGGATCCCAAGGAGATTTCATTTTAGAAGACAAGCACCATGATAGAGGAAGCACACTTCCTGAGTCTCAAGAGATGACACTGCTTAATTTAAGGAACCTGGAGTGTTTGAGGGGTTGATTCTATGGGACATGAGAGGTACCTCAAGTTGCCAGGCCCTAGGCCATGTAGGACTCTATAGGTTAGTGATAGCAAACCTTTTAGAGACCGAATGCCCAAACCCCCCCTGCCCCCCACACCATCCCCGCCCTGCGGCCACCCACCACCTCCATGGCCTGCCACAGATCGCCCAGGTGGCCCAGCAGCACCATGGTGGCCACGCCCTCTGCCCACGCCCTGCAGCATCATCTGCACGTGACAGGGCGGGAGGGCAGAGTCTTGTCCCCGTTGCCCAGCGGCCATGTCCTTGGCTGCGCTGTTCCGCGTGGGCCGCACCCAGGGACGACTCTCCTCCAGGGGGCTGCTGGTGAGGAGGGGGCCGTGGGGGGAGGCAGGGCTGGGGTGACGGCGTGCCCAGAGAGAGGGTTCTGAGTGTCGCCTCTGGCACGCATGCCATAGGTTCGCCACCACTGCTATAGGTCATAAAAGATACCTTGAATTGCACCTGGAAGCATAATAGTAAGTAAGCCCAGCCTTGGAGAGCAAAGTTATGCAATGGATATACCAAAGCATGCCATCATGTCTGCATAGCTGCATTCTGGACCAGTTGAAGTTTCCAAGCACCATGTAGAATACATTGCAATAGTCTGACCATTGGACAGTGCAATTGCTTTTAAATGTAGAAATTTGGCCATTGCAGAATAGAAGGATGTTAAGATGCTTCTGTTGAAAATCTTACAATGGTTCCCAGCTGTGTTCTGCACTTAAAAGTGTTTGTTTAACCTTTAAAATTCTAAATGGTTTCATTCCTGACTATTTGAGAGACCGTCTCCTGCAGGCTTCCAAAGATGCTCCCATTGTGAGAAGCTGGCACACAGTCTTTCTCTCTCGGCCAGGAGTCTCTGCAGGAGAGGCTCCAAAAAGTCAAGATGGTCTGCTGAACCACAGAGTCACAGCTTTTACCCTTTTTTTATATGCAGGTAAATGCAAATGCGATGCAGATAAAAGGGGACAGAGCTTCAGTCACCCGGTCATGACTGACATCTTGACATTTTGGATGCACACCCCTCCAGGGACACAGCTGCTCTCTTCCTTTAGAACATCTGAAAAGATGGGTCTTATTCACCAGCCCTTTAACAGTTTGTGGCTAGGGAAGAGAAGGGAAGGGAAGGGAAGGGAAGGGAAGGGAAGGGAAGGGAAGGGAAGGGAAGGAAGGAAGGAAGGAAGGAAGGAAGGAAGGAAGGAAGGAAGGAAGGAAGGAAGGAAGGAAGGAAGGAAGGAAGGAAGGAAGGAAGGAAGAGTTTTCCCTTGTAATCCCAACATGCTCTGGATTTCCTGACCATAATAGCCAGAACAGGAGCATTTGAAGACAGTCAGTACAATTCGAGTCAGATAAATTTCCAGATTATTTGTTTATTGTCTTGTCATTCCTGTAACTGCTTTCCTTTAAGACAAGGGGTGTCAGATTCAATTTCATTGAGGGCCGCATCAGCATTATGGTTGCCCTCAAAGAGCCAGATGGGCGTGGCTGGGTAGGCGTGGCCGGGTGGTCACAGCCAGGTTGCTGTGACTCGGTAGGCATGGCTGGCTGGGTGTGGCCATGTAGGGTCAGCCCAGCCCCGCTTCCCCAAGGGGGTGCCCGGCCACGCTTACCTCCTCCTCGAGGCTGCTGCTGCTGTGCTCACTCTCCTTGGCCAGGTTGCTCATGGCGGGTGTGGGAGGGCGGTGTGTGTGTGTGTGTGTGTGTGGATTGCGGGCGCCACTCCTAGGTGATTGTTTCACCTGGCAGGCTACAATGGTGGCTTCCTCTCTGGGTTCACGAGCTTGTGTGAGTGCAGTGCAGGTGAGGTGGGGCTGAGCACGGCTTATTGGATGCCCTTAGCTCAAGACTGTCACTGCTGACCAATGAGCAACCGAGGGGCCAATGAGCTACAGCTGCTGCCGGGCACCACCAGCCCCTGCATATCACCACCTCCTATGCATGTGCCCAGGGGGAGCACCGGGCTGGGGTGGGCCAGGGCCGAGGTGGTGGGTGCCTGCCCCTCACCATCTCCAGGGTTGCCCCATGGGTCAGATCTAAACACATCACGGGCCAGATCTGGCCCACGGGCCTTGAGTTTGACATGTCTGCTTTAAGAGCTCATGGTGGTGCATATAAGAGTCCATGAAGCTGTATGGCTGAGAATGGACTGGAACAGGTGGTCCACTTTGATCCAGTTCTGTTGCCACTTCACCACCTGGCTTTTTGTGTCTGTCTCCAAAGAAGCCAGCATTGCCAAATGTAAAATTCTTCTCCAGCTCAGATTCAAATTCAAGCTGGAGAAAAATACCTTCTCATAAATCAAGCGCAGGCTTTCCAGTCTATCAGCTTCACAACAAGAATCCCTATTTTGAAAATTCATTATGTGTACACATCATCACTCGAGAGTTAGGAATGTACAAAGGAATATTGGGGTCAGTATGGAAATTAGAAAAAAAAAATCCAATTTGGTGAAATAACCTATTTTTGTTCAGCAATCATTAATAATCAACTTCTTGTGCTGATTTTAGGACAGACTCCATCTGGTGTTGTATTACATCATTGCAAAGAAACTCTAGATTTGCTATGTATTATGTAGAAAAATAACAAAATACTGTATTCAGTAATCATTTTAACTTTGCAATAATAAAAATTTTAGTGGGGTTAGAGAAATTCTAGAAAAGTAAATGTAAAACGCAATCCGCATGGGAAAACCACTAGTTTTTTGTTTATGTTTTTCTAAGCATAAAAACCAGAAATACATATCCTATTTTGCACTCAAAATGGAAGGATTATTGGGGGAAATAATCTGTCAGATAACTTATATTTGTAATTGCATCCTTGGCATTTCATTTTGGTAGATTTAAAAGTGTATGAAATTGATAGTGATGTATAATGTACTCAGTCAACACTGAGTGATTTAGAAAGATTATACCTGGTTTGTAATTGGTTGGGAGGCCACAAGGAAACCCTCTGGCTATGTATTAGACTGAGAAGCAGAAAGAACATTTCAGAAGAAAGCAACACAAAGTTGTAGTAGTTGCCAAGAAAACAATATCGCTATGCAGTCTTCTGTTTCTTCTTCAAAGCTGGTTTTTTTGTCTCTTTTGGACATAAGGAAGAGAAATGCTCCCTCTTTTAACCAAGTCACAGAGCAAACTATTTGTGTGCCTATATTTTTTTAAAAAAAAAGTGCTTTAAAAATATTCAGTGAAATCTCAAATTTATCTGATCGCAATGCAAGAATCCTCATATGCAGTGAACTAAATTTCCAGGCAGTGTACAAAATGACTTCATTGCCTAAAAATGGAGTTTTGCTTGGTGATACAAAGCAAACCACATGTCCATTTACATTATTTGGACAATGATCAGGCCAATCATGTAATTTATATCATTTGCATAATATCTTCAAATGACATAATATTTTCTCAGTGGCCTTTCATATTTAACAGACAATCTTAGGTTTCCCCCTCCACACACCCCCACCGTAGTCTATTAAACAAGTTGATATTCTGGAAAGCCTGTGCTTGATTTATGAGAAAGTCCATTTGACTAACTTATTAAGCATTTTGCCACTTACTTCAATTTCTTTAAATTCTTTAGGCTGTCAGTTAATTTTAGTTCTGCACTTGACCAAAGGTTAACTCACCAGATGGTTTTTCAACCTCATGGCATTGAAGATCTCTTTCAAGTTTAAAGTAATTACATTTCAAAGGTGTTTAGAAAGTGAGCCTTAATAAACTTAGTCCTAAAAAGACTTTACCACCACAGTGGAAAGCTTGTTGGCTTCCTTCATCTCCTGGTGCTCAGTCCTGTGAGAGACTGTTGACTGCAATCTCCTTGTGAGAAGCTGCTTTTTCAAGTACAGGTGGTCAATCTCTTCTCCTTTATTCAAAGAGGTCCTCTTACAACAGGCTTGTCACTGGTCTGTCAGTCCTAGCTGTATTTTTGTCTTGTTTGAAAATGTCTAGTTTACCAGTTCCTCAGAAGTCAAAATCCCCTTTGCCATAGGGCTGTTTTAAGAATACTGTATAAGCAGTGCCTTGCTGGATCAGAAGCCTGGCCCATCTGTCTGTTCTCATATGGCTAGCCAACTGCATAAGGAGGCCTCTTAGTCTCCCAGAGATGGCCTTCAGAGGAGTCCCATTGCCATCAAGGAACTATATCGCAATGTAAGTTTCTCTACTAGGCCATCAAAGACTTGAGGGATTCCTAAGTTTTGATTTGTAGACTGTCTTCCTCCTAAGGGAGGTATGAGAATACCTGGCATTGTCTCCCCTCCAAATCAAAGGCACATTTCCTAGCACAGGTAAGAAAAGAACTACCTTTGGAAGCACACCTAACTAATACCCTAAATACATTCATAGGGTGTTGTCATGCAGAAGATTTGTTCCTATGTTTCTCACAATACCAGGACCTGCAGCAGCTTCTGTATCTATGATCTGAGAAATACGGAAAACCCATGTGAAAAGCAGCACTCCATTTAATGCTTGAAAAACACAACAAAAACATAAACCCTTTGGTTTGACTTGCAAATAAACCAGGCAGCAAAGCTTACCTTGTCCGTTGCTTTGCAAGACACTGCATGTGACTTCAGCTTGGTAAAATAAAGAGTTTTAAATAAGCTGGAAGGTTTCAGAAAAACCAGTACTGGTGCAGTGATGTCTCCACTGTTACAAGCTCTGTTTTCCTCACGTTTCACTTTCCATTTGCAGATCGTGGATGGTAAACTCTGGTTCCAGTTGGATTGTGGTGCTGGCCCAGGCATCCTGGGAATTTCAGGCAGGACGGTGAACGATGGGAGCTGGCATTCCGTCTTCCTTGAGTTGAACCGAAACTTCACCAGCCTCTCGCTGGACGACAGCTACGTGGAGAGGCGCAAAGCTCCCCTTTATTTCCAGACCCTGAGCACAGATAGCTCCGTTTATTTTGGAGCCCAGGTACAGGTGGATAATGTCCGAAGCTTAACAGACAAGAGGTCCACCCAGGTCTTGAGCGGCTTCCAAGGCTGTTTGGATTCCATCATCCTCAATAACAACGAGTTGCCTCTCCAGAACAAACGAAGCAGCTTTGCGGAGGTGGTGGGACTAACCGAACTGAAGCTTGGCTGTGTGCTGTATCCCGATCCATGTGAGCGAAACCCTTGTCAGAATGGAGGAACCTGTATCAGTGTGCCATCTGGGGGTGAATATTCTCACCTTGTACTCGGGAATGTTCAGGGTGGGGATGGCTTGGTTTTGCCCTTGTGGTGCAGTGGTTAAAGTGCAATACTGCAGGCAAACTCTGCCTACAGTCTAGAGCAGTGGTGGTGAACCTATGGCACGCGTGCCAGAGGCGGCGCTCAGAGCCCTCTCTGTGGGCATGCGTGCCATGATCGGAGATGGTAACTGTCCCTCTTCAACCAGCCGCCTGCTAACTCGCCGAGGTCCCACGTGGCCGGATGCATCCCAGCACGGCTGGTTTCCCTCCCCCCATCCCATCCCTCCTGGCCTCGCATGCTCTCTTTTTCCCCGGATACGACCCACTGCATCGCCTCCTCAGCTGTCGGCCAGCTGTCCAGCTGAGAGGCAGCTTCTCTGAACTGCTGGCAGCGGGTGGCGGAGCCCCAGAGTGCCAGTCGAGGGGCCGGCAGGCTGTGGCTGCTGACGGACACTGTTGGCCTCCATGCACTCGCTGGCCTGTGTGCGGGGGGCGATGGTGTCAGGCAGCAGCCACCCCAGCCCCTGCCTCGCCTTGCCCCACAGCAGTGGCACCCCCACCCTGCCTCGCCTCACCATGCAGGACGAACCTCTTGCCCACTGCCCCATCAGCCAGAGACCCTCTGGATCTCCCCCAACCTGTCCAACCCCCACAGGCATCCCTCCCCACGAGCAACATCGAGGTGACCACTCCCACCTTGGCCACACCCACCCAGTCTGCCATGACCACCACAGCCACGCCCACCCAGTGGGCCACACCCACCCAGCACCCGGCGATACATAAGTGGGTTTTGGGTGGCAGTTTGGGTCCTCGGTCTCTAAAAGGGTCGCCATCACCGGTCTAGCGTTCGATCCTGGCTGTCTTGAGGTTGCGAGAGAGAGTCATGGTGGCGCAGTAGTTATAATGCATTATTATAACTCACTGCCAGGAATTCGATCCTGACTGGGCCAAGGTTGATTCAGCCTTCAATTATTCTGAGGTCAGTAATATGAGGATCCAGATTGTTGGGGGCAACATGCTGACTCTAAATCGCTTACAGAGGGCTGTGAAGCACTATAGGACAGGATATAAGTCTAAGTGCTATTGCTATTGCTGTGGACTCAGCCTTCCAGCTTTCCAAGATTGATAAAGTGAGGAGCCAGATTAGGGAGGGCAACATGCAAATAATGCTTACATTGTGAAATGCCCAGAGAGTGCTGCAAAGCACTATGGCAGTGTTTCCCAAACTTGACAATTTTAAGGCATGTGGACTTCAACTCCCAGAATTCCACAGCCAGCAACGCTGGCTGTGGAATTCTGGGAGTTGAAGTCCACATGCCTTAAAATTGTCAAGTTTGGGAAACACTGCACTATGGGGTGGTATATAAGTCTAAGTGCTATTGCTATTGCGGCTTCAGCTTCTCGTGCCAGCCCTCTGTCCATTTGTCGATTGATTTTCAGCTGCAGAGAGAAATTGGAAACATCCCACATTTCTTTCCGCGCAGCATTAATTCACAGAGCCGTCAGTGGAATAATATATTCCATTTGTCTTCGGTCAGACATATTGACTTATCGTGTGTTGTGCAGCATCCCCCAAATTCACAATAATTCCTTGCACCCTTAATTGCTCTGAGTGTCCCTAAATCACTTTTTTTCTGTAGATGATTGATTGGGGCTCTGCGCCGCAATCAATCATTCCAATGATCTCCTAGCTTGCCCAAGGTGCTGGACTCTGGACCCGTCCAACTTTGGCAACGATGATGATCACAGTGATAACGATTTGTTGTTTGATATGACAACACATCTATTATCCCAGAGTCTAACCCTCTTCCTGTTGCGATGTCTCCTATTCCTGTGTGAGCCCTGAGTAATAATTCCTCTTTACTCTGAACCTGTGCTGTGGTTCTAACTCCACTATGAATAACCTGCTATGAAGAGAGATTAAATATTTAGTCTGAAGAAGAGAACTTTAATGGGGGGTATGGCACTGCGGGAAGTAAGAAAGATAACATTTTACTTGCTGGAAATAATGGAAGAATGGTTTCCTAAGGGAAAGGGACTATTTTTAAGTCCAGAGTGAGCAGATAGCATTCGGAAGGGATTCAGGTAGACATCTTGTACTAAATGGTGTATAAGGAGGAGGTATAACATAATCAGACTTCGATTATGTTCTGAGATTATATAGCAAGATTCTGCTGATATAATCAATCCTGCAGAGCACGGATCTCCAATCTTTCTGGCTTTGTGGACCACCACACGGGGTGGGGGTGGAAGAGGGAATAATTCTGTGCAAGCAGCAGGTGTTCCTTTTTTTTTTAATAATAATTTTTTATTTTTCCAAACTCTCCCCCATACATATACCGTGATATTTATCAGATGTTAATATACATTCTTTTTACATTCATATATAAGATACTTTTGATAAAATGAAATAAATACATACACATGACTTTTGGTGTTGCTTGCCCATTTCCCCTTTCACTGTATCCACTCCTTCTTCTCTACCTTCTTTCTCCCTTTCTTCTCTTCCCTACTTCCCTCTTCTTCCTCTCCTCTTCTCTTTCCTTCACCTCCCCACTTCTCTTCTCCTCCAACCTTCCTATTTCTTTCTCTCCTCCTTTACTCTTTTCTCTCTCCTCTCCTTTCTTCCCTCTCATGTCGCTTTCACGATTGTGTGAAAAATGGTCACAAGTCACTTTTTTCAGAGCCGTTGTAACTTCAAAGCGTCACTAAGTGAACTGCTATAAGTTGAGAACGACTTGTACCCACGCAGTATCTTTGGCCATCCTGCTACCAGCCCAGCCCTGCCTTTTTAATTTTGCAGCCTTCATAGTAATACTGGCCATCTCCTAGATTACTTCAATCTTACAGGAAATGAACTCAAGGATAATGGTAGTGTCCAGAGACCTGAAACACTAAAGCATTAGCACATTCAATATGAAACATCGGGACATGTGTTAATGCAAAGTTGTACGTGTAAAAAGTTCTCCATTTGCAAATATGAAGTCTGGGAAGCTGAGTGCCTCCGATCTTGCAAGGAAAGCAGGGTCATCATTCAAAAAGATGCAGAAGCTTTTAGGAAAATAGCTAAATGCATTTATTTATGTTTCTGAGCAATAAAGATAAAACCAATGCCTAACTTTCACTCAGCATATTATAAATTAGATCAAGTATCTCTCCCCCCTCCCATAAATAAGCAGAGTAAACGGGGAGGGGACTGGCTCATCTTGCGCTTGACCTCGGTGGACTCCGTTTATAGGAATGCTCAGAAAATAGCCCGATGTTCAAATTTAAACCTTTCTACCGAATCACTTTAATATAATTTCCTTTCTACTTCTGTCCCTTGGCGGATTGAATGCCTCGCATTTACATCGGCTGCCGGAAGGGAAGAACATCTTCAAATGAAGGTCCATTTTATTAGGAAGAAGCAGAGACAAGCAGCTCCCATCTGAAGGGTCCGTTTTATTAGGAGAGAGAGAGAGACGAGCAGCTCACATTCAGATGAGTTTTGCTGCTGTGTTTTATGTACTAAAGCATGCAGTTACTGCTGCGATCGGAGAGCGAGTGCCTTGAGGGGGTAGCTCAGCTTCCTTACTCATACTCTCCTCTCTGTCTTCCTCATGTTTCTCTCTGTTGTCTCTTGTTAGGAAATCTATTTCCTTGGGCTTTTATTTCACGCTCTCAGCAGTCTATGTAAATAAAGGGTTGTAATGGTGCCATAATTCTAAAGCAGCGGCCTTTAACTATACATTAGCCAGGCTATAAGACAATCAATGGCCGCACCAGTAGGAAACTTCCTTTCCTTTCCTTTCTCGCTCCCAAGCAAAGTAATGTATTAGCCCCAGCAATCTGCTGTATATAAAAAGCGTATATAATAATTAAACTGAGTTCAGCCTAAGGCCCTCGATTCTATCAGGTCATAGATCAACATGTTGGCTAAAAGAACGGATCATGGTTAGAAGAGATTTTTTTCACACTTTACTTGCTGACTACTAGATCAACAACTAAGAGTGCTTTGGACAAGGCCCAAAGCTAACTATGGGCCCAAGAGTCTGTTTCCAGGTTTGCACTTTGCAACTAAAATCCATGTAAAAATGTGCCTTTCAACACACATTTTCGAACCTAGTTTTTCCTCAAAATAGGCATCGCTAAATACAGATAATCCTCAACTTATGATCACAATTGAGCCCCAAAATTATGCGGCTAAGTCAGACAGTTGTTCAGTGACTTTTGCTCCATTTTACGAACTTTCTCGCCACAATTGTTAAGTGAATCACTGCAGTTGTTAAGTTAGTAACATGGTTGTTAAGTGAATCTGGCTTCCCCCATTGACTTTGCTTGTCAGAAGGTCGCAAAAGGGATCACATGACCTTGGGACACAGCAACCGTCATAAATATGAGTCAGTTGCCAAGCGTCTGAATTTTGATCACATGACCATGGGGAGGCTGCAGTGGTCATGAGTGTGAAAAGTGGTCCTAAGTCACTTTTTTCAGTGCGGTTGTAACTTTGAATGGCTACTAAATAAACTGTTGTGAGTCAGTGACTACCTGTAATTTTTGCCCTCAATCCTTAAGTTAATACTTTTTCAATAAGTATGCATAAGACTGTTTACTACAGCACTGAAAAAGTGACTGTAAGATGTTGAGACTTTAGAAAGAGTACAGAGAAGAGCAACAAAGATGATCAGGGAACTGGAGGCTAAAACATACAAGGAATGGTTGCTGGAATTGGGTGTGTCTAGTTTAATGAAGAGAAGGACGAGGGGGTGACATGATAGCAGCGTTCCAATATCTCAAGGGCTGCCACAAAGAAGAGGGAATCAAGCTATTCTCCAAAGTACTTCAAGGCAGAACAAGAAACAACGGATGGAAACTAATCAAGGAGAGAAGCAACCTAGAACTAAGGAGAAACTTCCTGACAGTTAGAACAATTAATCAGTGGAACAACCTGCCTCCAGAAGCGTTGAAGTTTTTAAGAAGAGACTGGACAGCCATTTGTCCGAAATGGTATAGGGTTTCCTGCCTGAGCAAGTGGTTGGAGTAGATGACCACCAAGGTCCCTTCCAATTATTATTATTATTATTATGGATCATCGCACAGTCAGCCAGATGTTCAGACTGGATTTGGCATTTTGTCTACCAATCGAGTCCTTACCCAGGACCTGGGATAGGCAGATGTGGATGTTTGATGGTATTACAGGTATCATCGCAGGATGAAAGCAGTTCCTAGTAAGGCCGCCTTTTGCAATTGACTAATGGCAAATTTGTCAATGCCAATGGTGTTCAAGTGGTGCTCCAGTTTTGGGATTGCACCCAAGGCGCCTATGACTATTGGTACTACCCTTGCTTGTTTTTGCCACAGTCTTTCTATTTCTATTTGTAGGTCTTTGTATTTTGTTATCTTCTCCAGTTCTTTCTCTTCTATTCTGCTGTCACATCCACTATCCAGACTTTTTTGTCTTTCTTATCAACAATTGTTAAGTCTGGGGTGTTATGTTGCAGGTGCTTGTCTGTTTGATATTATTGTCTGTTTGATATTATTATTATTATTATTATTATTATTATTATTATTATTATTATTATTATTATTATTATTATTATTATTATTATTATTATGGATCATCGCACAGTCAGCCAGATGTTCAGACTGGATTTGGCATTTTGTCTACCTATCGAGTCCTTACCCAGGACCTGGGATAGGCAGATGTGGATGTTTGATGGTATTACAGATATCGTCGCAGGATGGAAGCAGTTCCTAATAAGGCCGCCTTTTGCAATTGACTAATAGCGAATTTGTCAATGCCAATGGTGTTCAAGTGGTGCTCCAGTTGTTTTGGGATTGCACCCAAGGAGCCTATTACTATTGGTACTACCCTTGCTTGCTTTTGCCACAGTCTTTCTATTTCTATTTGTAGGTCTTTGTATTTTGTTATCTTCTCCAGTTCTTTCTCTTCTATTCTGCTATCTCCAGGCACTGCCACGTCCACTATCCAGACTTTTTTGTCTTTCTTATCGACAATTGTTAAGTCTGGGGTGTCATGTTGCAGGTGCTTGTCTGTTTGAATTCTGAAGTCCCAGAGCAGTTTAATTTTATCATTTTCTATGACTTTCTCTATTTTATGATCCCACCAGTTTTTGCTTACAGGCAAATGATATTTTTTGCAGATCTTCCAATGCACCATTGTTGCTACTTTGTCATGCCGCTGCTTGTAATCAGTCTGTGCAATCTTCTTGCAACAGCTTACCAAGTGGTCCACTGTTTCTTCAGCTTCTTTGCATGGGCGGCACTTACTGTCTTTTGCTGTCTTCTCAGTTTTGACTTTGTATGCATTTGTCCTTAAGGCTTGGTCTTGTGCAGCCAGAATTAGTCCCTCGGTCTCTTTCTTCAATTTTCCTGCTCTTAGCCATTGCCAGGTTTTATTATTATCTGCTTTCCCAGCTATTTTTTTCATGTATTGGCCATGTAGTGCTTTGTCTTCCCATGCCTCTATTCTGGTCTTCATTTGGTCTTTCTTGTAGGCCAGTTTGGTCTCTCCAGTAGTTAGTAAGCCTTCCTGGCTTACTACTACTACTACTACTACTACTACTACTACTACTACTACTACTACTACTAATAATAATAATAATAATAATAATAATAATAATAATAATAATAATTATTATTATTATTATTATTATTATTATTATTATTATTATTATTATTAGCCAGTTCTCAGACTTGCAACTTTCACAGCATTTCCCATGGTCATATGATCAAAATTTGGGCATTTGGCACCTGGCATGTATGTATAACGGTTGCAGCATCCTGGATCACAGGATCGCCATTTATGACTTTCCCAGGGACTTCCAATAAGCCAATCTGGAGGAAGACGGATTTGCTAAATGACCACAAGATTCACTTAATAACTACAGCAACAACAAAAAAAGTTGTAAAATTAAGCGAGGCTCACTTAACAACCACATCCCTTAGGGTTAGATGTCCTGATCCCGGTCATAAGTCAGGGACTACTTGTAACAGTGAAAATGATGGGTGGTACTGAAGCTGCTGTTGGGCCACAGTTGCAGATGACCATCAAATCTGTCTTCCTTCATCATTTTCTCTGCCTGTGAACTTCAGCCCGGCATTGAATGGGAAGTGCATTCAAATTTAAAGGGTCCTGCTTTTACCTCTATTTATCTTGTCTCAAGATGCAAGCCTTCTCCAAAACATTTGAAAATCCTTGCAGCCTGTCTTTTCCAGGCAACATACAGGACATTTTTGAATGTAGGCATCCAGCCACATAAGAGCAGCTTGATAAGTCACCAGGTGCGTTATGCCTCTTACACTGTAGACCAGACATGTCAAATTGGTGATGTCGCGCAATGTATCGGGACTGTTTTGCCATTGCTGGCAATGGGGTGGGCATGGCTTCTGCGTGACGCATCTGGGTCGCAGGCCGACAGTTTGACACTCCTGCTGTAGAAAGAATTTAGCTAATTGGAAGGTCTTGATTCATATATATGGCAACGAATCTAAACTGCACTGTAAACTCCTCTGTTGTTAGAAGCTTTGACGTTCTTCTTTGCTAAAATAAAATAGCCTTCAGACTTTTCGATAAACCAACAAAAGGAATGACATGCTGCACAATCTGCGCATGACTTTGTACCTGGCGTAAGGTTTCTGATTGAGGGATATCTCTGAATTGACCACCAGAGGGTGATAAAATACCACTTTTATTTCTGCTAACTTTCCCAGTGCAACATACACTACTTGGAGAATTGTAGTTTCATTTATCGCTTAAATTTATACTTATCCTTCTGTTTCTCTCCTTCCACCTGACTTAGGTTACCAGTGTAGTTGCCTTTCTCAGTTCACTGGGCGAAACTGTGAATCAGAGATCACCGCTTGCTTTCCCAATCCTTGCCACAATGGAGGATCCTGTGACCCCATCGGCAGTGCCTTCATTTGCGCCTGCAAGAGTGGATTAACTGGAGTGACGTAAGTAAAGTCATATGGGAGAGGACCTCACTAGGGTGCAGGGCTCCTCAAAGTTTTTGGATTTTGCCTAATTTACAGCATAATATAGCACAGTGTGGCGAATGTGCCAGAGGCAACACTCAGAGCCCTCTCTGTGGGCACGCATGCTGTTGCCCCAACAGAGTTCGCCAGAGTAGCAAGCATGTGGTGTTTGGAAGCGACAGGGCAGGAAGTGAGCAAGCAAATGGCGTTGGCCCCCCAGGGATGCCCCGGAGATGGCAAGGGACTGGCCCCCGCTGCCCTGGCCCCGGCCATGCTCACCCAGTCTGCCGTGCCCACAGCAGCCACGCCCACCCAGTGGGCCATGCCCCCCAGCCCCCCTGAGGGCACCACAGTGCTGATGCAGGCCTGTCACTTTGCAATAAATGTAGGTTTTGGGTTGCAGTTTGGGAACTTGGTCTCTAAAAAGTTCGCCATCACTGATGTAGCAAGTAACATAATTTTGGAGAGCTAATTCCATTGATGATACAAAGCTTGTATATAGAGTCAGTCACTTTTTACATTTAATTGCTGAATTATAGCTTTTAGTGAGATATTGTAAGATAGCCATTGACTGCTGATCCTACCTAGACTGGATATGAGGGGTTTTTTTTTCCTAGTTGTGTCTTACTTAAACAACAAGATCTTTCCGAGTCAGACATATTTCAGTGCCCTTACATATTCTTCACCTATATATGTAACCTTTCTAGTGATTGACAGGCCATCCTGTAATAGCAATATCACACAAGCATCAGATAGACAGTTAATGACCTAGGTAGTTCAGGTCATTCCTGGGTGTTTTGTTCTTTAATACAATATGGAGTTGTTTTGATGTTATCCCTTCATCCTTGTTAGCTTACATTGATTTATTGGGTTACATTTAACAAAGACAAGCACATAGTAAGTCCCATTAAAAAGTGGTTTGGTGGTTGAAGTTGGACTCAAGAATAGCAGGCTCAAGTCCATCTGTAATTATGGAAGCTTATTGATTAATGTTAGGCTTGCCACTTTCTTGACGTCCAACCTATTCAACAGGCTAAAGTATAAAAGGTAAAGGTTTTCTCTGTCCAGTTGTGTCCGATTCTAGGGGACCGTATTCATCTCCACCTCTTAGCTGAGGGAGCCAGTGTTGTCCAAAGACCATTTCTGTGGTCATGTGTCCATCATAACTATAAACCAAGGTGCACAGAACTCTTATTACATTCCCATCAAAGTGGTACCTGTTTATCTGCTTGCTTTTGCATGCTTTCCAACTGCTAGGTGGACAAGAGCTGGAGCAAGCAAGAGGGGCTCATCCCATCACATACACTCGAAACTCGAACCCAGACTGTCAGCTTTCCAGCTGACAAGCTCAGGGTCTTTAACTGCTGAGTCATCGCACCTCCTTCTTCAACAGGGTACGGTTGTGGGGGGAAAATGGCAGAACAAGTGCTTGAGCTGTTAGAAGAAAAGCCGTGAGATTTATACACAGTTTTTCCTCTAAAAGCTTAAGCACTCCTTCTTCCATTTTTTTCACAACCAAACCCTGTTGAAAAGGAGGTGCGATGGCTCAGCAGTTAAAGACCCTGAGCTTGTCAGCTAAACTGAACTTAATTGAATAAAATATGTGAATTAACTGAATAAAATATGTGACCAAAACTGGATGCAGTATTCCAAGTGTGGCCTGCCTTTGTAAGGCCACACTTGGAATACTGCATCCAGTTTTGGTCACCACAATGAAGAAAAAGATGTTGAGACTCTAGACCAGGGGTGTCAAACTGCCGGCCCGCGGGCCGGATGCTTCATTGGGAGACCACGCCCACCCCATTTCCGGCAATGACGAAAAAGCTCCAATACATTGTGTGACGTCACATGACATCATGGCATCACGAGTTTGACATGTCTGCTCTAGACAGAGTACAGACAGAGTACAGAGAAGAGCAACAAAGATGATTAGATGGAGGCTAAAACACATAAGGAACTATTGCTGGAATTGGGTATGTCTAGTTTAATGGAGAGAAGGACGAGGGGTGACATGATAGCAGTCTTCCAATATCTCAGGGTCTGCCACAAAGAAGAGGGAGTCAAGCTATTCTCCAAAGCACCTGAAGACGAGACAAGAAACAATGGATGGAAACTGATCAGAGAGAGAAGCAACCTAGAACTAAGGAGAAATTTCCTGACAGTGAGAACAATTAATTAGTGGAACAACCTGCCTCCAGAAGCGGTGAATGCTCCAACACTGGAAATTTTTAAGAAGAGACTGGACAGCCATTTGTCTGAAATGATATAGAGTTTCCTGCCTGAGCAGGGGATTGGACTAGAAGACCTCCATGGTCCCTTCCAACTATTATTATTGTTGTTGTTGTTATTGCTGTTGTAAAGGCAAAGACGTGTAACTGCTAGAATCTTTCACCCACTTTTATTTTCTCTCTTGTAGATGTGATGAAGACATTAACGAATGTGAAAGAGAGGAATGTGAGAATGGGGGCTCGTGCGTCAATGTATTTGGCTCCTTTCTATGTAACTGCACTCCTGGATATGTGGGCCAGCATTGTGGCCTAAGACCCGTCGTTGTTCCTAATATCCAAGCTGGCCACTCTTACGTGGGCAAAGAAGAATTGATAGGCATTGCTGTTGTTCTTTTCATCATCTTTTTCTTGGTAGTCCTCTTCATCGTCTTCCGCAAGAAAGTTTTCCGGAAAAATTATTCTCGGAACAACATAACTTTAGTCCAAGATCCAGCTACTGCTGCTCTGCTCCACAAAAGCAATGGCATTCAGTTCAAGAATATGAGGACCGGAGGCGACAACCGCAATATCTATCAAGAGGTAGGACCTCCTCAGGTCCCAGTGAGGCCAATGGCCTACACCCCTTGCTTCCAGAGTGAATCCAGGAACAATTTGGACAAGATAGTTGACGGGCATGGGATGGAACATCAAGAGATGACCACCTTCCATCCTGAATCTCCCCGGATCCTGACTGCAAGGAGGGGTGTTGTAGTATGCAGTGTGGCTCCCAACCTGCCAACTGTATCTCCGTGCCGTTCTGATTGTGACTCCATCAGGAAGACCTGGGAAAATGGCACTGAAAGTGAGTAACCTTTCAGCTTTTTGATATTTTTTTTTTAAAAAAATCACATTTCTTTCCGCATTGCCATTTTGACTTCATAACAACCTTGCTTAATGGCTGGCTCAAGGGTTCTAATTGACCTGCTTATAAATAAGTACAAGTGACCATAGATTAGAACAATGGTGGCGAACCTATGGCATGCGTGCCAGAGGCAGCACTCGGAGCCCTCTCTGTGAGCACATGTGCCGTTGCCCCAGCCTCGCTTCCTCCCACGACCCCCTCCTCAGCAGCTGCCCCCTGGTTTGCGTTGTTTGGCGACCCCCGTGAAATGGTCGTTCGACCCCAAATGGGGTCCCGACCCACAGGTTGAGAACCACTGTGTTAAGGCAAGAATCACTTTGAACAAGGTCTCTTAGTGCAGGAGTCTAATTCTATTGGCTTTCAAAAGCCAATAGGAATTATCCAGGCTGTCTCTGCCCTGCTGAGCCCGCCAAAAGTCCCATTCTGCAAACGGTGCTGCACCGGTTGAGTAGTCCTCGACTTACGACCGGTTGGGGGTCACGGCATTAAAAAGGTTGAGAACCATTGAATTACACAGTTCTCCATTCATGATAAAATTAGCAATTTGGAATATTTTGAGAGGTTGCCACAAAGCAGAGGGAGTCAACCTATTCTCCAAAGCAACCAAAGGCAGGTCAAGAAGCCATGGATGGAAATTAATCAAGGAGAGTAGCAATCTGACAGTTAGAACAATTAATCAGTGGAACAACTTGCGCCTGGAGCAGCGCAGCCAAGGACATGGCAGCCGGGCAGTGGGAACAAGACTTCGCCCTTGCGCCCCGTCGCAAACAGATGATGCTGTGGAGCACGGGTGGAGGGCGTGGCCACCATGGTGCTGCTGGGCCGCCTAGGCGATCTGCGGCGGGCCGTGGAGGTAGTGAGTGGCCCTGCGGGTTGGTGGGGTGAGGTGAGGGTGGGGCAGTTTTGGGGCACTCGGTCTCTAAAAGGTTCGCCATCACTGTCATATGGCCTCAGGACATTACATAAACGTCTTAAATATGAACCAGTTGTCAAGCATCTGAATTTTGATCACATGACCATGGGGAAGCTACAACAGTTATAAATGTGTGGAGGGAGTCAGAAATCACTTTTTTCAGTGCTGTTGTAACTTCGAACGGTCACTGAATGAACTGTTGTAAGTCAAAGACTACCCGTAGTTTTTGGGAGGTCCGTCGTAGCAAAGAGGCAACAGCCCACTCTAAATTTCCACGGAGCTCCAGCATTTTTACTGCGGCAGGACAGTTCCTCCGGCCTTTGACACAGAACCGAATCCTCTCAGGTGCTGAAGCCATTTGAGAGTATGGAGACCCAGCAGTGCCAGCCATTCTTGAGGCTGTTCAAACCCTTTGTTTGAATACCTAGATATAAGGTATCTTTCGATACCTTATATCAGGGGTAGGCAACCTTGGCTCTTTTATGACTCGTGGACTTCAACTCCCAGAATTCCTGAGCCAGCCATGCTGAGGGGAAAGGGAGAGGTTTCCAAGCTGAGCCATGCTGGCTCAGGAATTCTGGGAGTTGAAGTCCACGAGTCATAAAAGAGCCAAGGTTGCCTACCCCTGCCTTATATCTAGCAGATATACAGGCAGTCCTCGACTTAGGACCATAAGTCATGATGGTCATAAAGTCACTCACTACATGATTGTGCCCAATTTTACAACCCTTTTTGGTGGTGATCGCTAAATGAATGGGGCAATTGTTAAATAAATTCATTGTTTGCTGTAAGTAAGGCATTTTATTTTTGACAGAAACCTGGAAATAAATGCCAGCATTTCTGGAAAAAAATATAGCACGGGACTGTGGGATGCTGCAAACAGCCATAATCTGGGCACATTGCTGAGCGTCCAAAATACAGTCTTGTGATGAGAAAGGGGAGGGCGAATTCGGGTCATAAGTAGTATTTGGGGGGATCTGTTGTTATTTTGAGCAGTTGCTAAGCAACTGGTCGTAAGTTGAGGAATTACCTGTAATGATGAGCCGTTTCTGAAGCAAGACGTCTCTTTGGATTTCATGTGCGCTGAAACCCAGGTCTGTATATCCACACAACCTGTTCTCTCTTCTTTTCCACATGTGTAGGCAAAGGACTTGACGATATGGAAGAGGTGACCTGTTTGTCTGGAAGCAATAAAGGCAGCAATTCAGAAGTTCAGTCTCTCAGTTCCTACCAGTCAGATTCTGGTGACGATAACGGTAAGAATATATAAATAATTTTTATCCTCCTTCTGCTTGAAATTATTTTTAGGTTATCATCAAAAAGGTCTTGGGTACTAGGATTCTAGTAAACCACTGCTGAGTGAAATGTTCAGTTGCCTGGTGTGATTGCCTTATAATATTGATACTAGGCAATTAATCTCTACAGATAGGCAGAACAAGGAAATCAACTGTTAACTGTTACAGGTAATCCTCAACTTCCGACACAACTGAGCCCAAAGTTTTTGTTGATAAGCAAGACACTTAAGTGAGCTTTGCCCCATTTTACCATCTTTCTTGCCCCAGTTTTTAAGTGAATCACTACAGTTGATAAGTTAGTAACCTGGTTGTTAAGTGAATCTGGCTTCCCCATTGACTTTGCTTGTCAGAAGGTCACAAAAGGGGATCACATGACCATTTGCCAAGCATCTGAATTTTGATCACGAGATCCTGGGGATGCTGCAACGGTCGTAAGTGTGAAAAACCGTCATAAGTCACTTTTTTCAATGTCATCGTAACTTTGAACGGTCACTTAATGAACTGTTGTAAGTCGAGGATTACCTGTAACCAGCTTTGTACTAAGCTTAATGTATGCAAAGAATATTCCCACATACGGGGTAATGCATTTGAAATTGCAGATAAAATTTCAAGGAAAAAGATCTAAAACTCTGTAGTAAGGCCTACATTGATGTTTCTAGTCTTCAAAGTGATACAAGATCATTGAAGAAAGAATAAATCATGCCATTGCTATGAGACAGATAATGATGTGGTAGATATTTCCTTTTCCAAACACAGCTTAATACTGTATAGCAGGGGTCCCCAACCCCCGGTCTGTGGGCCGGTACCGGGCCGCGGCATGCCAGCAACCAGGCCGCACAAACAAACAAAGCCCCATCTGCGAGATGCAGACAGCACACAAAACCACACACCATCCGGTCTGCGGAAAAACCTCTCTCCACGTAACCAGTCCCTGGTGTCCAAAAGGTTGGGGACCTCTGCTGTGTAGTATTATCAAAATAACATTTTCCAAATACTGTAAGGGATAACCTCCATAAAGGGATTTGTGAATAGGAAGGAAGATGTCTAATAGAATAATCATTTCTGGAGCCAAGTACAATGGCCTGAGTATAAACCCATCTATCTTAACCTAAAAAATTTGAGAAATCATCACATTAAACTCAGTTAACTGATTTTTTATTTTATGCAGTGTGACATCTTAAGAAAGTTCACTGCAAGATTGCCCAACTATCATGAGCGTCGCAAAATGTTGATTGTTTCAATCAAATGCCGTGTGAGACTTCCTACAGGAAATTTGGAAATGATTAAAATTTAGATGTTGACGTGCCTAGTATGCATGGAGAAATACAATCATTATTAGAGATATTTTATTTGCTGTTCTGCTTGGAGGTGTGCAGGATGGCTTCTATCTAGTGCTTGGTATAGTCATCCCAGTCATTTTGTGTTAGAAAAAAATGATTCTGTGCTGCCAAAAAAGTTATTGTTGTTCAATCTCTAAACCATGTCCAAGTCCAACCCATGGATCAGAGCACACCAGGCCCCCCTGGCCTCCACTGCCTCCTAGAGCAGGGATCCCCAACCTCCGATCCATGGACCGGTACCGGGCTGCGGCTTGCCAGCAACCAGGCAATCCAAAAAGCAAAGCTCCATCTACGGGATGCAGGCAGCACACGAAACCACATCCTTTCTGGTCTGCAGAAGAATCTCTCTCCACGTAACCGGTCCCTGGTGCCCCAAAAGGTTGGGGATCTCATGTTCATTGTGTCAGTGACACTATTTGACCATCTCTTCCTTTGCCGTCCCCTTCTCCTTTTGCCTTCAACGCCAAAAGAGTTACTTTTTCTTAGTTCTTAAGAGAAAGGCAAGTGCTTATGGTATTTTATTCCTCAGATGCCAGAATAACTGAATAGGGTTTTTAAAATGATAACATGACTGGACTCACGAGTCATGGAAGAGCACTATTCATTATACTACTTTCGGCAGGAAAACTCTCTTGCTGTGGTCTTGGTGTGTCTCTTCTATGTTTCTCATCTTGATTTCCATCTCCATTGATCCGTTCTTCAGGTGCTCCAGTAATGCATGTGGTTCACAAGGCTAACAGAGAAGTCATCACAAGTGCTCCATCCCAACTAATTGGTCTCCCCGTGCTAGGGCCTCCAAACTTATATGGAGCTATTGGGCACATTTGGAATGCTGAGACAAGGGTGCAAGGACTAAAGGATTGCATTAAGGCTCCCATTCATAAAATGATTGCTGTGTCGTATCCGTTAGCTGTGCCTCTCCTCTCCAAGTCTCCATAGTTTTCCATGCACTCACTGGCAACAGATTTCTTCCCTTTCTTTTCATTTCTGCCTATTTTCTGGGGAGTTGGAAATTCTTCAAAGGACAGCATTGTCCTCCCGGTGTCTAAGACCCACTGGGATCCTTTATGGCTCAGAAGAATTTGTCACAAATGTTTTGAAGTCAGTGCTTGGAAGCCCTACCCGCTGCTTTTTCAAAAGCTGTATAACAAAATAAATATGTCATTCATGACAATATTTCTAGAGTGTTTGGTGAGAAACAGGAAACGTCTCCTGGGATAGTAGTTATTGGAGCAAGGTTGAAAAGTAGCCACATCTTATTTCGTGGATAAACAGGTGATTTCTAAAGTCAGACAGTCAGATCCAGTGGTCCTTGAGCAAGCATTGCGTCCTATGTATTCCTGTTCCTATTTTAATGGTAAGGGGGAGCAATGGCTCAGTGGTTAATGATGCTGAGCTTAGAATAGGATGGGATAGGATAGGATAGGATAGGATAGGATAGGATGGAATATGGAATGGAATGGAATGTAGAGTAGAATAGAATAGAATAGAATAGAATAGAATAGAATAGAATAGAATAGAATAGAATAGAATAGAATAGAATAGAGCTGGAAGGGACCTTGGAGGTCTTCTAGTCCATCCCCCTGCTCAAGCAGGAGAACCTATACCATCTCAGATAGTTTGTCAGGTAGAAAGCTAACAGCCCAGGTTCAAAACCCAAGTGCTACACAACGGGGTGAGCTCCCATTACTTGCCCAGCTCCTGCCCACCGAGCAATTGAAAGCATGCAAATGTGAGTAGATAAATAGGTACCACTTTGGTGGGAAGGTAACAGCATTCCGTGTGCCTCGGGGTATAATCATGCTGGTCACATGACCACAGAAAGGATCTTCAGATAATGCTGGCTCCCTCAACTAAGAAAAAGGAGATGAGCAGCACCCCCTAGAGTTGGACATTGCAATGGACAGAGGGAACCTTTACCTTTACTTGAATGGTGTGAAAGAGACTTGTCCCTTCAAAATTCTTTTCCCAGCATCCTGGGAGGGGATATCAGTCCCACTGGTTTGGAAGCAGATCTTCAGAGGGATATCGGCCTTTAGATTTGTTGGGCTGCAACTGAAGGTCATATTGGCTGGAAAGTCTAGGGCTAGGACAGCATTTAAGAATACCGTACCTCCCAAAATTAGAAACAGCAATAAAGCAGGATGTACAAGGATTTGAGGGAGTTTGTACGGCAGTGTTTCTCAACCTTGACAATTTTAAGGCATGTGGACTTCAACTCCCATTGCTGGCTGTGGAGTTCTGGGAGTTGAAGTCCACATGCCTTAAAATTGTCAAGGTTGAGAAACACTGTTATACGATCTTCAGTTTAACTGCTGTCCAAGAAGAGATGTGGAATTTGGTGGCCATGGGAATGTAATACTGATCCAGCCCCTTTCTTCACCATCAAGGGGAATGGTGTATTATAGGGGTCCTCAAACTTGGCCACTTTAAGACTTGTAGACTTCAACTCCCAGAATTCCCCAGCCAGCATGGCTGGCTGGGAAATTCTGGGAGTTGAAGTCTACAAGTCTTAAAGTGGCCAAGTTTGAGAACCCCTGGTGTATTATGAAGGGGATAGAATCATGGATCTCAACAATGTCCAGTGCTCTGCAGGTTAGAGATGTTAAGTTCAATATCCATTTCCAAAGTAGACAAGCTGCTGATTCCAGGACATTTGTGGACCTTTCAAAGCTTTGTGTGTGTCCCTAAGAACTCCTTTGAAAAATGTCACCAAATAACTTTTTCTTTTACCGTGACAAAATGATGAAAGAGGAAAATAATTAAATGTAAAAAATAATAGCTGAATTTAAATTATTCAACACAAGTTTTATTTAAATTATTTTGTTTTTCATCCTGGCTTCCCCCCCCCTTTTTTTTTTTTTTGCCTGCACCATTCCATATTATAAAAATGCTTTATTCCAATAATTGTTGCTTTGGAGTTAAAGGTTTAAGCTACATTTGATCATTAAAATCTCTTGATTGTGGAATAAAGTCTACTCTAAGTCAAATAAATATTTCTCAGCTAAATATTTCTACAATGAAGTCTTATTCTAAAATTAGTCTCCTGGTTGTATTCTGATCGTTGCTAATGTAAAATTCTCTCTTTTGACACAGCTGATAAACACAACATGGAATAAATGGCCATCTCTGGCTTAAAGGGATGTTAAAAATAATTAAGGAATAAGGAGCCTTTAAATGGAAGCTATTTAATGAACATTTAATCTACCTTTTTACCTGTCTTTAAATGTTTCCAAAGCAGAATTTGTAAATTCCCACTGAGGTTTTGTGTTGCTTAAGAAGTAAATGATCATAGTGTGTGTGTGGGGGGGGTGGAATTTAGCCAAAGACTTTTAAAATCACCTTGAATCATTCTGGCTGCCTCTAAGTCTAAGATAAGAGACACTTCAAAGGCAGCACTTAATCTCAAGGGGTTTTAAGCAATTCGGGTAGATTCATTGAATTGTGGAATCCTTGGTGCTCTCTGAGCTTGGTTGTTTTCATTCCATTATCCAATTAGGGAACATCTTCAGATTCATTGAATTTTGCAGGTTGGATTTAGGAACTTGTAGTAGTCGTCACATAGGAACTTTTGAGTGTTTTTCCCATTTCCTGCCCTACTGTGGAGGTGGGGGGAAACCAAGTGTGTGTACGGAATTACCAGATGTTGTGAAATGTCCTTAAATCGTTGCATAAATCATTTATAACAATCTACCCTGTAGTTCCTCTCACAGCTAATCTGAGATTATGTCACTGATAGCCTCTGTGTGGAATAAATAAATACTAACTTGAGACTGTCCTTCCTTTATTTCTGCTTTCCTCCTCCCGCAAGCTTCCATTGTGACTGTCATACAACTTGTCAACAATGTAGTTGACACAATAGAAAATGAAGGTATTTAATCTTTTAAATATATATATATGCTGTATATATGTATGTATATATGACCTTCTCCTCCCGCACTGTTGTCTATTGTTTGTCAAAGTGTTTGTTTGTCTGGTTTTGTTCCTCTGTATACAAGATCACAGCAGAACTTTGTTAACTCACACTGACTAGCCAGGACTCGGCAAACAATTCTTTTTGCAAAGATGGAAGATTTTGAAAGATAGCAACCAAAGCAAATTACCATACTTTGCTTAATATGATTGCAGACCTTAGAGAATTGAAGGCTTTGTTTCTAATCAGCTTTGTCTGGGGAAGGAAGAAAGTTCCTAAATAAGTAATATCCTTCTAAACTCAATCAAAATGCAACTAACTGAATGCAAAGGAGATAGGAAAACACATTTACAGTTATTCTCAGCTTAAAGGGATATTTAACATACCAGTATCTGTCCAGTGGCCTTAACACACTGTATCAGTGTTTCTCAACTTTGGCAACTTTAAAGTATGTGGACTTCAACTCTCAGAATTCCCCAGGCTGCCATGCTGTCTGGGGAATCCTGGGAGTTGAAGTCCACATATATTAAAGTTGTCAAAGTTGAGAAACACTGGCATAAATTCATGATTAGGCAAACACTGCAGTACAGGTCCATATAGACCAGTGTTTCTCAACCTTGACAATTTTAAGGCATGTGGACTTCAACTCCCAGAATTCCACAGCCAGCATTGCTGGCTGTGGACTTCTGGGAGTTGAAGTCCACATGCCTTAAAATTGTCAAGGTTGAGAAACACTGATATAGACCTTTTTTTTCAGTGTCTTATCTGTTTCACTCCCTCTCTTCCTCCCTCACCCAACTTACTTCTGTGTGCTTTCACTCCTGGGCTCACATTTACAGGTGGTCCTTGACTTATGACCATAATAGAGCCTGCCAATTACAGTCATGATGGTGATGAAGCAGGTCATCCTGTGACCAGACGTGATTTTACAACTTTTTTATGGCGGTTGTAAAGCAAACACTGCAATCCTTATGTGAACCCCTTGTTCACTGTGGGACATTTTATTTTTCTGAAAACCAGAAATAAACACAAGTTTCCAGAGGGAAAAAAATGGGGGATAGTGTCATGGTCACACGCTCAAGAGATGCTGCAAATGGCTGTAAATGCCAGCCAGTTGCCTTGTACCCAAAATGTGGTCATGTGACCACAAAAGGGTGCCATAACTTTGGAACCAGGTTGTAAATAGCTTTTGAACAATCACTAAGCAACTACTCCTAAGTAGAGGACTACTTCTATATTAGGGAGACTAAAAAGAAACTAGGACAGGGATCCCCAATCTGTGGGCCGCGGCCTGGTAGTGGGCTATGGTCTGCTGGCCACCGGGCTGTGAGACAGGCTGACCAGTGTGCGGCATGTGCACACACACCCCGTCACTTGCGCTAGCACCACAGGGCGCAAAAACAGGACATCGTGCCAAGGGACGCAAAAACGGACTGCCGCTATGCCTCAGGGCATGAAAATGGGACGCCACCGCACCTCAGAGTGCAGATCGGGCCACCACTTCACTACAGGGCGCAAAAATGGACGATAATGCAGGACACGGAAATCGGCCACTGCTGCGCCGCGGGGCACAAAAACACGGCGCCATCATGCCACGGGGCACAAAAACAGGCTGCCATCGTGCTGCAAGGCACAAAAACGGCCGCCATTGCACCGCAGGGCACAGAAACAAGACACTGCGCCATGCAAGAACGGGACAGGGCTAGTGAGTGTCACGTGGGCGTTAGCGCCACCCCATTTGCGGCACACGCATGTTCGCGGCCCCATGCACACGGACGATTCTAAAATGCTTCCCTCTCCCTTTTCCTCCAGTCCGCCAACCGACAAAGGTTGGTGACCTCTGTTCTAGGATTTTTGGATTCCATCTTTGTCTTCACAGAAAGTTGGCCCACTATCCAAATCCTGTAGTCCTTTGCCCCAGGCAAGTCACCCTTTTCCTCCGCTCCTCCTGGTCTCCAAGTGCAGATTTCTCCTCCTTGATATACACAGTATATTGCTGGTCCATGCTTACAAACACAAGTCCAAGAATCTCCTAGTCCATTACCGAAGGCTTCTGTGCTTTTATATATTTCCAGCTAGAAGGCAGGTGATTTAACTAGGTAAGCACAAAGCTTCTTGGTCTCTCCATGGCACAAAACCTGATTTTGGTCCACGGGGGATCCAGATCCATCAGAGCAACTCACTCTACTACACACACCCTTCCTTAAGATAATGTCAGCTTTTCTAAGTAGGCCAGGTCAAGAAATAGACACTCGTGGATTTTAAAATATTTTTTTATCTCTCCTTTATTATTTTTATAAATAACTCAAGGCAACAACCTATCTAATACAGGTAGACCTCGGCTTGCAAAAGTTCATTTAATCACCGTTCAAAGTTACAACAGCACTTTAAAAAGTGACTTATGACCATTTTTCACACTTACGACCATTGCAGCGTTCCCAGGGTCACGTGATCAAAAACCAGACGCTTGGCAACTGACTCATATTTATGATGGTTGCAGTGTCCCAGGGTCATGTGATCACCTTTTGTGACCTTCTTACAAGCGAAGTCAATGAGAAAGCCCAGTTCACTTAACAACCGTGTTACTAATTTAACAACTGCAGTGATTCACTTAACAACTGTGGCCAAAATGGTCATAAAATGGGACGAAATTCAAATGTTTCACTTGGCAACCAAAATTTTGGGCTCAGTGGTGGTCATAAGTGCAGGACCACCTGTACTCTTTCCTCTTCCTATTTTCCACAATAACAACACTTGTGGTGAATTGGACTGAGAGAGAGAGATTGGGTCAAAGTCACCCAGCCAGTTTCAATGACTAAGGCAAGACTAGAATTCACAACTTCCTGGTTTCTAGGCAGGGTGCTTTAATCACTAAATCGGATCTGGGCATTTTACGGCCCCTGAGCCATATCTGGCCTTTTGGCTGTCCCTATTTGGCCCAGGTGACTTGCTTTTATTTTGAAGGCAACTTCTATTTTTTTTCCCAATTTATATATGTGCGTGCGTGCATGCCTATGCACCTTCACAACCCTATTGTTCAGCCCTCCACAACAGTTCCAGTTGCACATGTGGCCCCCCCTTGGGAAAATTAATTGTCCATTCCTGCACTAGACCAAACTGGAATTTCCAGGAATGCTTCTTTATTGTTGTTGGTTATATTAACAAAATCTGGAATGTCTGTTCAACACCTTCAGTGCTCATTTTTGAGGACAATAAGGTCAATGCAAAGCTGGTCTAAATCTCACACTCTTCTTTTCTTTCTCAAGGCCGTAGCTAAATCCCTCTGCAGATACGGCCCAAGAGGTTTACTCAAGCCTTGAATGCTCTTTGTTGTATTATTTGTCTTGTCTCCTTTGTGGTTCTGAAGTCTTCCTCACTCATTCCCAAAGCTGTGTCCTCATTTCAGCTATAAATCTTTGTTTTCTCAAGCTTTTTTCCCTTGAACAAATTTAGAAGGGCTGGCAAACTAACTTCAGCCTGCTACAACAGTCCTTTCTTCCACTGGTGATGGGCTCTCTGCTTCTACCCTAGACCCATTTCTGCTGTATCTTAGCCTCTAGTTACTATTTATTTCTTTTCGCTTCCTCATCCAATCCCACTTCTTGGTATTTAAGCTTATTTCTTCCTAATTCCTTTCATTTGCCTTTGTTAACCATATCTGCTAGGTCTCCTTTAATCCCCTTTATGATGACATTTTGAAATATTGGTGCCCACTGTCACATGAGCTATAATCCTCCAATAATATATTTTGCTAATTGAGCCGTCTGCAAAAGTATCTTCCTAAAAACTTTGTGAACGCTTGCATACCTATTCTTGGAGAGCCTCTAACAAAATAATGGTGAGCACTAGTGTTTTTATTATTATTATTATTGCTTTTAACACCAATTAAGACTAGCTGTATCATTGGGCCAAGCATATTTCTTCCATTGACCCTTGTTTGCTTGGTGTGTTTTTTCTTTTCTTTGCAACTTAGATGAACTTTGAAGATTAACAACCAATAAAATTTTCTGGGTTTCATTTGGGCAGGTTTGGGCCCTGTGACCAAACTTAACTGCATATATAACCTCTTCTTCTACTGATTTCCCCATCTTGGCTTTTTACTGTTCTTTTTATGCTACTGACCTAATTTAGTTTTCATATGTTCCTCAATATCCTCTTTCTTATGAGCTCTTTTCCCTGGCCTTTTTTTAATAACTAACCAGTTTTTACTTGCATCCTCTGTCTACAGGCAGCCAAATAATCCTCAAATAATTCTACTGCATTATTGCTTCTGATGCTTTTCTAACCAGAATGTAGAGATGTTGTGGGGATCATTTTAACCTGTACCGCCATTTCCTCTGAACTCTTTTCTCTAGTTGTAATCATTTATGACCTAGATCAGTGGTGGTGAACCTATGGCACGAGTGCCAGAGGTGGCACTCGGAGCCCTCTCTGTGGGCACACGTGCCATTGCCCCAGCCCCGCCTCCCCCACCCCGCGGCCCTCTCCACACCAGCAGCCCCCCTGGAGGAGAGTCACCTCCAGACACGGCCCGCCTGGAGCAGCACAGCCAAGGACATGGCAGCCGGGCAGTGGGGACAAAACTCCACCCTTGTGCCCCGTCGCAAACAGATGATGTTGCGGGGCACAGATGGAAGTTGTGGCCACCATGGTGCTGCTGGGCTGCCTGGGCAATCTGCAGTGGGCCGTGGAGGTGGTGGGTGGGGGTGGAGTGGGGTGGTGCGGGGGCGGTGTGGGGGGGTGGGGCAGTTTTTGGACACTCGGTCTCTAAAAGGTTCGCCGTCACTGACCTAGATCTGTTAGTTAAGCCCCCAATTCTCAGATTCTTTCCTGAGCTACCTAAGGGGGCATTTCCTAAATTTCTGCTTGCATGTATACTTTGTTACATTATATTGCCGTACGTTGTCTTCTTCACTTTGTTCCTTGTAAGGCCCGCTGCTGACTTGGCAGTCCATTTT